AGCACCAACGATCGCATGGTTTGTTGCACCCACTTGAGGTTCCCCAATGGAAGTGGGAACAGATTTTTATGGATTTCATCACCAAGTTGCCAAGGACCGCGAGGGGTGTCGATGCAATTTGGGAGATCGTCAACTGGCTGAAGAAAAGCGCTCACTTTATTACTATCAGTGAGAGCTCTTCTGCTGAGAGGCTGGCAGAGTTGTATGTGAGGGAGGTGGTATCGCGGCATAGAGTACCGCTCTCTATTGTATCAGATTGGGATGTGCGTTTTACTTCCAGGTTTTGGAAGAAGTTCCACGAGGAGTTGGTCATGAGCTGGCATTTCAGGATCGCTTACCATCCCCAGACGGACGGACAGAGTGAGCGGACAATTCAGACGCTCGAAGACATGCTTCGGGCATGTTTGTTGGACTTCGGAGGAAGTTGGGACATGTATCTGGCTTTGGCTAAGTTTTCCAATAACAATAGCCACCATTCGAGCATTGATATGCCTCCCTTTGAGCTGTTGTATGGGAGGAGGTGTAGGTCTCCCATTTATTTGGGAGACGTAGGGCAGCGAGTGATGGGAAGCACTGAGATAGTGCTTCAGAGGACAGAGCAGATACAATAGGTTAGATAGAGATTGCTGACGGCCCAGAGTCGTCAGAAGAGTTACGCGGATAGGTGTCGTTCAGATCTTGAGTTTCAGGTTGGGGATCTTATACTCCTGAAAGTGTCGCCTTGGAAAGGAGTGATTCATTTCAGGAAGAGGGGCAAGCTAGGGCCCCGGTATATTGGCCATTTAGGGTAATCGCGAGGGTGGGCAGAGTAGCATATTGCTTGGAGCTACCTATGGAGTTGGACCAGATTCATGATACCTTCCACATGTCGCAGCTGAGGAAGTGTATAACCGATGAGTCGACAGTGGTACCATTGGAGGATATAAAGGTGGATGCGAGTCTGAATTATGTTAAGAGGCCGATCGCAATCTTAGATCGAAAGATCAAGGTTAGGAGGAGCAAAGAGGTGCCCCTGGTTCAGGGTCAGTGATAGCATCGAAGAGGGTCCGAGCTAACTTGGGAGACAGAGTCAGAGATGCAGTAGCAGCATCCGGAGTTGTTTTCGGCATGAGACTTTGAGGACGAAGTCTAGTTCTAGTGGGGGAGAATTTTAACATCCCAAAATCCAAGTAAAGCTATTAAGTCCTTCCATTTTGTCAAGTTATCAAAAGTGGCCCTTAAAAGAGTTTTTATAGCAAATGAGTATGCTGGGCATACTGGGGTATACGATGCTCGTACTCATGCGCTTAATTTGGACGCGGACTCACTTGGGTACGCCGGGCGTACCCAGGGTTACGCTGGGCATAATGTGTCCAAATGCAAACCCTAATATTTGAATTGTCCACTATATAATGGATGCTAAGGCTCATTTCTCAGCGTCCGTATAAGTGAGTGAAACCCTAAGAGAGAGCTTTCCATTGTCCTTAGTGAGTGTGTGTGATTTTTGAGCTAAAAGTGCCTTGGTATGTTAGTAAATAAGGAGGAGAGGGGCTTGTGGAGGCTAGGGCTTGAAGTGCAAGTTTGAATCTGAGATCTACAGAGGAAGGAGCTGCATTTGGAGGTATAAAGTTCAAAAGTTTCCTCTTCATTTTGATTTGTTGTTGCATGGGCCATTTCTAGGATTAAAAGTCCCAAAGGTGGAGGCTTTATGAGTGTAAGGTGCTCCATAGTCCGAGATCTGTGCCCATTTGTACTATTTGTGTTTTAGATCCATAAACTTTCCATCTTGGACACTGATATGAAGGCATGCTTGTGTTTTGAGCTTTCTAAGGTTAGAAATGGGATATTTTGGGTGATAGTGACTTGTTCAGCCATCCAAAGGCTTAAAGCCATCGACTTTATGGATTAAGAAGCTTAGAAATGGTGAAATCTAGAAGTTGGACGTGGGTCTTAACTAGTTAAGACCTCAGGAGCTGAAGGACTGAAACTGGGAGTTACGATGGTCGTAATCCCAGTACGCGCAGTGTAGGGGGCGCGCAACCCGTTTCTGTGAGGACGCCGGGTACGCCTAGCGTACATGCAGCGTAACCCAAAGGGTTGACTTTTGTTGACTTTTAGGGTTTGGTCAACTTTAGGGTCCTTGAGCCATGAGAAGGGTAAAATGGTCTTTTACCCTCCTAAGGGTGAGAAGAGAGGAAATGGTCTAGCCATGGGAAATGTATTGATGAAGAGCGTTTTTATGATCAGGCGGAGGCTAGGCCCGATTTCACAGAGTTCGAGATTATCCGAGATACCGAAGTGAGTCTTTTCATTATAATGTACCTAGAAGGGTACCTATGTGTGACCGGAAGGTCTTGTATGCTATGAGATGTATGTGCTATATGTTGTGATGTGATATGTATGTGTTATGTGTGTTATGCATAATATGGACCGAAAGGTCAAGAGGTTACGGACTGGAAGGTCGAGATGGGTAGGACTGGAGGGCCTACCGGAATCTGGGATAGAAGTCCCGTGAGAAACTTGGATCGGAAGATCCCATCGAGTTACGGCCTAGAAAGGCGTATGTGTGGTATGTGGTATTTTGGGGAACTTACTAAGCATTTATGCTTACAGTGTTGTGTTATGTGTTTCAGGTACTAGTGACGATCGCAGGAAGACGTCGGCATGATCAGTACACACACGATGAGTTTTACATGTTATGATCTTGGGATGTAACGTTATGGGTTGTTTTGTGATACAATGACATTTTTATAACTATTAAAAATGAAAGTGTGTTTTTAAATGTGAAAAATTGTTTTGAAAATTTACGTCATTACAATCTTAAACATGATAATCAATATTCATCTTTTAAATATATGTTCATAGAAACTCGTATGCAAAGTCATCATTATTACTCAATCCACCAACAAATTAAACATTTGTTGAAAGAAGGTTTTAATATAATTATAACTATGTACCAACAAGTTAGAAGTATTTTTCAAAAAGTTTTCAATTCTCCGTATGAAAAGTTTGGTTTCATCACTACCATTATAAATATAAGAGTAATAATCAAACCCCACCATCAACCTCTTATTAAAATTTATAACTTTTAGTCGTAACTTTAAAAGAAAAACTAAACTATTGTTTTGTTTTAATCATGAGTTTTTCAAGTTTAAATATTAATAAACAAGAATTTAAATTTTTTCGTGAAACATTAAAACAATCTAATTTTTTTTTTTATTAAACTTAAAGCTAGATTCTGATATATGGATAATCATTTGTATATCTAACATTGAAGCAATACACATAATAAATAATGATATAAATTGGAAATAAGAATAAATAAAAAACCTTCAAGATAAAATAACACAACTAATATGTTAAATATGTCGCAAGAAATAGAAAAATCATTAATAATAACTACTTCGTTAGTAAAAAGAAACTAAAAATTTCATTTCTAAAAATAGACACAACTTATTAATATGAAAACTTTACAAGAAAAAGTAGAAATACTAACTAGATTATTTGCAGCATTAGAAATTCCATCCGAAATTCAAGAAAATAATACAAAAATTGAAAATAATTCAGATAATAATGTCGCAGAAGTAATATATGATTTTTCTTTAGATGACGGAAATCCTTATTCAAATTCATATAGAAATTTACAAACCAATTTTGGATTAAAACGAAAACAATCATATGTTGAAGATGATTATCAAGGTCAATATATTTATGGACCACTTTCATTAGAATAAAGTTTTTTATATAGACAAGGAATGGTTAAAAATAAAAAAAACAAATGGGAAAAAATATCTCCACAATACATACCCAAATTATTTACTTTTCCAACAAATTCAAATAATCTTTTTATTGGTTCTGATCAAAATCCCGAAGCAAAAATTCAAGAATTGAGTAATAAAATGGGAATACAAATCCAGTTAACTGAAGTATTAAGAAATTTACACCCAACACGTTTTCTTAATTATATTATTCATAAAACACAAGGTAATGCATATCGTTTTCTCTCATCTTTTGATGAAACTGAAACAATGATGATAGCTACTACTGATGTTATGGAAACATGTAAAAATATATTAACTCGTCTTATTCAGGAATTCATAGGAAAATAAATTGAAGATAAAGTATCATAGGAAGCTTTTGAATTAGAATCGTTATGACATTTAACAAATCTACGAATCTGTAATATGTTTTATCTAGAACCGTTTACATTTGAATATTCTGAACATTATTATAATTTAGATTCCACTAGAAAAAAAGGTAGCATTAGATATGTTTTTATCAAAAATTACCATCGTTAATAAGGCACAGTGTAATAAAAGATTTTCAAGAAGCCTTACAACAAAATAAATTTGCAGACACACTAGGAGCACGAATTAGTATACTAAAAGCATGGATGCAAAAAAGATGTTTAGAACAAAAAACAACACAAGATGCAAAAATTGATTTATGTTGTGAAACCCTTTCTAATAAAGTTAATCAATATGGTTTTAAAGATAATAAACGACAACGATATAAAAATAAAATTTGGAACAAACAAACTTATAAACCTAAATATAAACAATATTATAAAAAAGGAAAAAGAAAATATTTTCGAAATAGAAAGCAATATAAACAAAAATATCAATCTAAAACAAATTATTGCCCATCAAATAAAAAGGATTGTAAATGTTGGATATGTCAAGAGGACGGACATAAAGCTTATGAATGTCCAAAAAAGACAAAGAGGGAAAAAGAAACAAATTTATTAAAAATCGCATATGATCTTGGATATGAACCTATAGAACATTTAGATATAGATTCAGACATAGATATTTATGCATATACAACTAATTCTGATTCAGAAGCAGATAAATAATCCTATGGGGAAAGCATTATTGGGATTAGAATGTAAGGGAAACCTTATATCTAACCCATCTGAAGTATACATTGAAAAAGCATACAGTGGTATAAAAACACCACCAAAAAGCATACAATAATAAAGTATACAGTGATATAAATATATCACTAAAGCATACATTGATATGAAACTTCTCATATCATCATTTGAAATACTAAAAGCAGACAGATATAAGCAATCATTCAGGTACTCAAGAGGCATAAACATTCAAACATCATACACATCGGTATGGAAACAATCATGAAGCAAATACAGCAACAGCTCAAACAAAAGCAGGAGCAAAAAGCATCACTAATGAAACAAATTAAAGTAGTCAATTGAGAACTCGAAATAGTCAATTGTGAAGAAGAACAGCTAAAACAAACATTACAAGTTTTATCAGCATATTCAACACCCAAAGAAGAAGCAACTAGCAAATCAACAATAAAGAAACCAAATGAAGAAATTCAAGAAATATCATCCAACGATAGTCCACCACATACAATACCTAAAATAGAAAAACAACCCCTCACATCCATCCAGAGGAGTATCCACCACTTCAAGATCATAAAAACATAAAGAAATGCTATGTGATATTCAACAGAGAAAATAAAGGAATCTACGACGATTGGGGAATCAGCAATTCGTATATTCTTAGGAAAAATGTAATTCATAAAAGCTACAAAAAAAATGAAGCAGAAGTTGCATACAAAGCAGTAATAAGAGATAATGTTGAATGTTCAAAAACAGTCCTTCTTGCACCACAAAAACCCATATCTATTTCTACCACACAAAAACCTGTATTCATCCCAAAATCTCTTAATAAACTACATGCCAAAATCGCCCTTGAAGCCATTCCATCAACCAAAGAAAAAGAAGTCATGAAAAAACCAACTACCCAAAAATTTGCTAAAATATGGGATAGCCTCGTTTCATACACAAAAGATACTTATTTAATGGGTTTCTACCCAGTAGCCAGGCGCTCAGGCACCAAAGCAGTATTCCTAGCCGATTTATCCGATCCTATGACTTTATGGGATTATTTTATTCATAGATGTATCGATACCATTTACTTAGAAGGAACTAATCTCCAATGCATCAGCAAATTTCCGTCAAATGTACAAACCGTAATAACAAATTATAAGACACGCTTTGCCAAACAAGAACGAGGATTATTCATAAAAATGCATCCTAGTTATCCAATCTTTGATGAAGACTCACAACTACTTGTCCCAAGCATTACCTTTGCAAACATGGGAATCAGCAATGGTTCAAAACCTACAAAAGATGACCTAACCCATGAAATACCAACACAAGATCATCTAGTTTTTGCACTTGCCGGTGTCTATTTAGCATCATCTCGCATATGTAACGGAAAGATCAAAAATCAAGAGTTAGAGTGAATTATGCCACTAAAACTTTCATTATCTATTCTCTAAGAGACAGTGAAATCACTCTAGAAGCATTAAAAGTAATTGAAAATTTCGAACAACTGTTCGAAAAACTTTCTCATCATTTAGCTGAATTACCCGCTGATCTGAAGAAACAACTTTGTAGACACATCATGCATGCACGACGACATAATTGCAGTCACTGTAAAGAAAATATCGAAGAAACACCTTTCATGGAAGACTAACGTCAGCAATAATTAAAGCACACATCGTTTAGAAATATCTGTCCATTCGGTGGCGGGAGGAATGACGCAAGCAATGACGTATAAAGCCATTATTATTGAAGACATTATTGAACACACTTCTCCTTTCGTTGTGAAAGGAATTATTATTTGTTATTTGTCATTGTATAATTATTGTTTGTATTTGTGTGTAGAATATGACATAAAGTAGTGTTAGTAGGATGTAACATAAAGTGTAAGACCCTCCATAGTCTAGGGGTCTAAAATGTAAATATATGTTTGTCGTATTGCAATCATACGATTGCAACAATAATTGTAACCGGCTTTTTCGAGCCTATAAATAGGGTCGTTTCCTATAAGAAATAAACAAGAGATAATTGAGTATTTAAGAGTTGAGTTGAATCTCAAAGTTCTTTCTCTGTTGAAATAATTTGTCTATTTCTGAATAGCAGAGTTCTATCCAAAGTATCCACAAAATCATCCCATTATTCAACATAATTCATTATCAAGATAACCTGATGCATCATTCATGTATAATCTTCTCTTAATCTTTATTAATTCAAAATAAGGAAAAATACACCTTCAAATGTCCATCCACCCACCCGCACCCCTCCCCCACTCTCTTTCTTCTTTTCTCTGTGACATATGTTAAGTCCTTATTTGGTGGGTTTTTTTTTCCATTCACTCCGATTTTTGCGCATAACTTTTTTTTCTTTGAAAAAAAAAGGTCTAAAAAACCAATGTTCTTAAACTTTAGTTTTCCACAAGTGGATCACAATCATGAAAATTAAAAATATATATATTTAATTTTAAGAAGTATTAAAATTTTAAAAAATATTTTATATAATATAATTCAAAATATGATGATTCAAAATATTAATTCTTCGAAAAAATAACCTTTGATTCAACTTGGTTATGATCGTTAATTTGCTATGATCTAAAAATATTTAGACTCAAATATTTTATAATCTTTAGTTATATCTTTTATGATTCAAAATTAAATAATTCAAAATATACAATGATACATAATTTTTTTTGAACAAAAAGTTTATTTAATTGAAAATGTTATTGATCTAATATCATATTATTCAAAAAAGATTTGATTTAAAATACTACGATTCAAAATAATTTGATTAAAAATTTTATAACAAAAAATAATAAGATTCAAAAAAAGTATAAATGAAAATTTTTATGATCCTTGATATTCTTCTTAATTAAAATTTTATAATTGTTAAACATTAATAATTCAACCTAATATTTAGTTTAATAAATCAAAAAATAGAAACAATACTAATACCTTCAAGTATTTAGTAAAGATATTAAAAAATAAAAAAACAAAACAAAAGATACCTTTTTTTGAAAAAAAAACAAAAGAAAAATATTAAAAACGTCAAAACCGAGCATCTAACTATTTAAAATGACTTTTTAATTTTTTTAGCAAAAATTAAAAAAAAAAATAATAATAAACTAAAATAAACGAAAACAAATAACAAAAACCCACTTTAATAACGTTCAATGAATGTTCATCGTGCGTGATTATATCATCGTGTTCGTATTAGTTACCACGGACGTGAATTGCATGCGAATGTATCACGATGAAATATTTGAGTTTGACGTTCGTGCCCTTGACGGAATGGGTGGTGAAGAATTGTCCTCGCAATCCTAACCATATATATATATATATATATATATATATATATATATATATATATATATATATATATATATATATATATATATATATATACACACACACACAAGCACACACACTATCTCATTAAAAAAAATCTCAATACTTTTAAAAATAGATTGAATATAATAATATTATTTTTAATATGAGCAAACAATTAAGCTCAAAATAAAATGGACCATCAATATAATAATAAATAAAAGTAGTATAAATTATATAACTTTAAGTTCAAACACAAGATGCATTGCCTTTTATCTGTAATACCAAGTTTTTTCTAAATAAGTTAGATGAGACATTAAAAACGAAATTCAAAATTTTACCTAACGGGGACAAAGATCAAAGTTCATTAACTTTTTTTGTCGTATAAATTACATAACTTTCAAATATGAATGAAAAAGACATGGTTACCTAAATGTGGGCAAAGACCAAAGTTCGTTATCTTTTGAGGTTATTAACCCTTAAAATCGGAATTCAAAATTTTTAATATATGGTTAATTTTGACATCGCCTCCCTTGTATGTCCATGCTTACCAGTTCAATTTGACCTTGCGTGCCTAATATCTCGACTCTTCCCCTTTTTGAACTGAGATCAGACGATCATTCTATTCCATAACTCATCTCAATAAAATCGTGCCACACCACCACTCCTAACTCCATAGTCTCTGACCTTTTCTCTTTTTGAGGTTGTCTTTGAAACCCATAGATTCATAATGTGCACCCAAACATACTAGTGATCTCCATCAATTTCTGAAACTCTAATACCACTGACTTCTCTTTAGAGTCAAATACGGCCACAAACCGCTACTGTCCAATTGCCAGCATGCATGTAAGCTTTTAAATACGCACAATAGTCCTTTATCATGCCTCTTCTTCGACTATTGATCTAGATCTTTGGTATATTTCACCAACTAGCCCTATATTTGTTCTATTTGATCGCTTCTCATTTCTGTACACCCAAACCATATAATCCTCTCACAATCAATATCTAATATCTACTTCATCCCACTCTTTTGCTCACAGTCCGGCGCACACCCTAAACGCCACCACTACGACCATCATCACTCTACCTCTTTCTCATTGTAAACCCTAGATGTCATTATCTTCATCGTAAAACTTAGAAGTCACTGTTGTACCACGTCAATCTCATATTTTTGTGTCTTGATCTCCAGAAACAAGTGTGATTTTTCATGCTTCTTCGTTAATTAATACAGATCAAGTTAGGGTTCTTATTTTTTTAGTTTCTTTGAACTAAATCTTCATAAATGGATAGGGATAATTTATTTTTGTATTATTTTTTGATGAAAACTTTTGCTATGTTTGACTTTCAGGTTGTTATGTTGTTCAAAATAATAATTTTGATATAAATGCTAGTGTATTTTAGTCCTCACCACCAAATTATGTCTCATTTTTTTTTTCCATTTTGTAATCACATACTCATACACTTTAGGATTTTGATATCAATGGTTGAATGTTGATCTTGAACCATTTATAGGGTTGTGGAAAAAACAAATATAAAGGTTGTTAATGGAAACGAAGGTGGTTCAGGAAGCTGAAAAGGGCCTATTATGTTATGGGATTTTTCTTTAGGTGTGAAACAATGAAGATAACAATATTAAATTTCACAATGACCTTTCACTATGGAAAAATTACATTATATTGTTGATCCCAACTAAATATTGGTTATGGAATTTGCTTATTTTAATATTAATTTTTATTTTTAATGTTCTTCTTACTTTAGATAATTTTTTTCGATAAACATTTTTATGATGGATACAGAAGCTTGATGATGAACTTCTAGTGCGGGCTAGGTGTGGGATCCCTAGGTCAAAGGATCCTCCAACTAGCCTAGCCAGTCTCAACCTGGATCCTCATTAAGTAATCTAGCGCCCGGGCGTTCGCTCAGGACGGAACGTCTGCTCAAGAAGTCTGGCCTCGTAAAGAGCATCCCTAACAAATACAACGACTCCTGGCGACAAAGAGTATGCCGAAAGCACGAGTGCCTAAACCAATCATTGTCCTCGACACAATAGGGGACACGATTAGCCAATCAGAGTAACGGATCCTGTCGGAACTGTAGTTCTTGTTCCTCGTACGGAACAACAAGGATCCCTAGTATAAAATGGAATCCGCCCTACATTGAGAAGTAAATGATCTCTCTCAATTCTCATCAATATCATCTAGACATCTCCCACTAACTTGACCGTCAGTGCATCTTCCTGGGATCTCCTATTGGGAAACGTCTTATAGTCTTCTTTGTTGTGACTTCAGAGAGCCTTTCGATGATATCAAGCACTCTGAGAGGCGGTCGTCGGAGCCAAGGTCACATCATATGGCGTCATCCGTTTGTGTGACAAACAATACACAAAACCATATTCCTGTTCACCCTCAGGATGACGAATGAAACTGCCGGTGAACCCTCGGGGCAACAGAACAGCTCGATACGACCAATGATGTCAATAGATCCGATTGTCACTCCTGTGATAATAGAAGATTATATCATAACCACCAATGATGTATCACCATCCGTCAGCTAAACATTGTACTTAGCCAAGGTACAACCCCAAAACACACCCGATATCCAATAGTCGGCGTCCATCCTCAACAGCATAACATTGTCGATCTTCTAGCCCATCTACGGACAAAATGAACTCAACCAAACCCTATTGCAGCCGATTTTCCAGGAAATTAACAACTCACAACAAGTTGCGCAAATGTTGTCATCAGTAACATCTCAAACCACCTGCAGAGCACCATATTCACCGCAAACACTATCGTTCCAAACAAGTAACACACTCAACGGACCACAAACCATGTTGCCACCAACACTGGAACAATACCAACCACCTCCCATAACCGAACAACTCTCCATCCCACTCATGCCACAAAACTTCTACGGCCTGACCCCATAACACTTGGTCGCATACAACATGTTCATCCAACCATATTTGGCGATACAATATCCCACTTGCCACTATACCCAACAAACCCCAAACCAAGATTTCCACTCAAGAAGGAGAACCTCGCCGTTTGTGAAGGAGCTCATGGACTATGAGATACCCAACACCACAAAACTACCCAATC